GGTGCAAACCGCTCACCTCCCTGCCTCCTCCCTACACAGCGACAGTCTAACGCGTGCTGCGGGTTCTCAGCAGATCGATAAGCTGTAAAAGAGCCCACAGTCCTGCACCGGCTCCTCCAGTGTCTCATTCACCACCGCAAACCGAAGTTCTGCGTGCTTGAGGAAACCCTCGTGCAGAGGGCAACGTGCAGCCACGCTGACTCGAGAGTTTAAAAGAACCCGTGAGTGCAGAACTTACTTGAGTCTATTTAAGTGATAACATTTGGGATCTGAAACTAGAAAAGCAGTTCAGTATTTTTGGCAACTAAACAAAAACCAGACGGATCGTGGCAACTGGCAGCACACTACTGCACATGTGGAGATCCGACCCGGAGCGACACGTGGGGAGAGGACCTCTGCTCTGCTAACGCTGGGTCTGCATCTCGCACTTCAGTTTCATTATTAGTTTTGAACTCGTAGCAATAAAAGCTTTTGAGAACTGAAAAAACCCACCAACCCCCCACCCCCAACCAGTCTTTGTTCGTATCTGCTGTAGGACTTACCTAGGCACACATGCACTTTTCAAGCCACGCCGGCTGATCATTACTGTAATTTTAACTGAGGTGAACGTAATCAAGACAATGAAAAGGGCTTTGGAATCGAGAATTTCTACACTTGGAACAGCTCAAAGTGGTTCAGTGGGAGCATCAGCTCTGCTTACAAATACAGAGCCTGGGAGGGCTCTGCGCAAGAGCCCAGGGTGGTGCTGCCCTGTCCTGCCCTTACGGCACAGCAGACATAGGGTAGGAACAGGGAGATCGTCCAGTTTTCTTGGATTTCTGTTACACCTGGAAAAACCCTGTGACTTAAGGATTGAGTTTCATCCTTAACTGAGTTTCCAGGCCTTTTATTTATTTATTTTTAATCAATTCAGGCTGTTCTTTTTCCATTGTACTACAATGACAAATAAAATGCAGCTTGAATAAGAACAAAAAGAGTATTACTTCTTAACTTTTCAATAATACATGAAATAAAATACAAATCAACTTCAAAGGCCACTTAGCAAATATTTGATGAGTTTGAGATATTAAAAATCTATTTGAATAAGTCTAATGGCCAGCCCAGCTAAAAAGAAAACAAGACCATTCAGCGCGAGCAGGAAATGAAGTCAACTGGAGTTTTAAAATAAATCTGGCTCAAAAATTAAGCAAATGTTAAAATAAAACCATGTCTGGTTACACTAATTACATAAAAAGGAGTTAAATTACTCATTTCCTAGCTCCTTCTGCCAAGATCATCATCTTCAAGGGAAATTAAATTTAACTTCTTTTCTATTTTTTTCCTACAGAGCAAAAATGTTTTGTATGAAGAGACACCCCCGCCTTCCTCCCCCAACAAGGAAGTTTCGTTTAGTGCTGAATCCCAGTGAACATTTCCTGACTAAAAACCCCTACAAACACGTCAAACAAAACGAGGTAAACACCCGCGCTGATGCTGACATTTCCCACTGTATTAGCCAATACATTATTTTCCTAAAATTTATTGGAAGGTCTCGGAAGTAAAGTAGCATTTAATTTCTGAACAAAATCTAGATCTTACGGTTCAGGTGGTGTGTCAAATTCCCTGTTCTCCTACATTTACTATTTCAAGAAAACCAAATAGTAAATAAGTGTAGTTTGAAATTAATTGATTATTGAATACTGCAAGAATTACACCTCATAACTGGGGGGCACTACTGCAATGCAGTCATCATTAACTATAGCACTGCTCAGTTTCCACTACAGCCAGAAGGGCCAGCCTCTGCTCTGTGCGTCTTTCAGGCTCCATCCTAAGCCATGCAGAGTGCCTGCGACTGCAAATGATGGCAAAGGGCACTCGCTGGGGACTGGGCAAGGCCACGACAGGATGCCTTCTGTTGGAGCCAATTATTCTGATGTAACAAAATTAAGGTTAATCCAAGGAATTCTTTAGCTGACTCACTATTCAAGCAAAACTGATCTGCAGGCTTGTTTCACTCAGCCAGATGAAATACAAAAGCAAATCTTTTTTTCATTTTCCTAATCTAAAGTTTTTTGTAACGGAGAGCAAGCATCCTTCTATTGAAACAGCAGGTCAATCATTAGGTGGCAAGTCAAGTCTAGATTACATTTAGGTTATACAGCTACATTAAACTACAGCAGACCAAGGAACTAATTCTGGGGAGTCATCTTCCACCGCCACCTATTTCAACCAAAACCATGTTGATAAAATATTTATCATAGCTTAGTTTAAAAGAGAAACAGAGATTTTTGTGTATGTTGCAGCACTACCTGCATTTGACTGGATCTGGCTTAGCAGCACCAGAAGGTTCCACAAGACAGACAGAACAACTCTGTCACTGCAATTTCAATCTACTCCACATCATCAAGACCAAGGAAAAAACAAGTTTTCTCTTGTATAACTAGATTGCAGCCTACCTCAAACCACTGCAAAACCTTCCCTTCTAACAGCATTCTTGAAATATTAAATATGAGGCAGTATTCAAAAAAAATTCTGAAGTATTTATGCATCACTTCCTTCATTACTAACAGTAATGGTGAAGTTGTATAGAAACCTAAAGCTGGGTATGTGTTGGAAAGCACTCCCCTCCCCAGAAAGCCCCCAAACACACACAGCTTATAGAAAGTAACCAGTTCTTTTTGATGTCTGCTGCAGTGGTTCTGAAATTAATATAAATGGATGTGTGACGTGCGAAGGGGAGAGCCTGGAACTAATTCAGTTTTATAGAATACAAACCCTTCAGCAATTGGGGTACCTAATTATTTTGATGATAGGTGAAATTTTGCCTTGATCACACAGTGCCCAGCTGTGAATCTGTTTTATGACAGAAAATTTCACAGCATGTAACTGGTCTTTAAAATTACGCTGTAAACATGCAAACACATGGCACCACTAAAATAAGCATGTTTTAAAAAGCTCTTTTTCCTTTAAGCGTTTCTGAGAAGGGAGGAATGAAAAGGAAGAAAAAGGGAGGTGAGCAATGCTACAAATAGACTTCGTTTACTGTCTAATGCTTTTAGCATATTTCTGATCTATAAAAAGCTCAACTACATTTTTTCAGAACCGTTCACTTTTTTAAAGAAACTAAAAGAGATGGATTGAATTATTTCACTCTTCTTGGGGATTAATCTAAAAGTTGTTTCCTCTTCATTGTTACTTACACTACAGCTGTGCTTAAACTCCTTTTCATTTAGAAACAAAAAGTTTACATTTTGAGCCTGCGCACACCATGGTTCCACATTCCAACAGCTTCCTCCCAGTCCTCTGCCAGCATCTGCTATTGAAGACTAGTTCCAATTTACAATAAACAGCTTTTCCAGACCAGAACACTTGAAATTCAGTCCTTCTTGACTGCTTTTCCCATTCAATCTCCCTATTCACCATTTCAAGGAGAAAACTGTTCTGCCAATTATTACACATCTGGAAAAAATGCATGTATAAGCTGAAACGCTCTCAGCAGAAAGTTTCAGCTTTCTGCATATGGTCACAGCAGGATTTTATGGGCCACTGACCAGGCCCAAGTTTAAGTTTTCCCATCTTTCTCCTCCCCCTCATTTCTGCCCCCACCCCAACCCTCTAATTGGAAACCCATAGCAGGTGCAAGCTGTCTGCCACCTTTTCCTCCGCAGGAACCTTGAGTAGTTTCCTCCTGACAAATGTTGGTCTTACATGCCAGTTGTAGCTCACTAGGCTCTATGCTAAGGTAAATGGATCAGCTGAGGCTGTTCTACATAAAAATACACATTTAAAAATACCATTACCATTGACGCTTGTCTGTTGGTTGTCACAAGGCTAGATGCTCCATAATTTGAGTTCAGGCTTCCAATTGGCCCATTGTGGGATGGTCCCAATAAACTGTGTATATCTCCGTGGCCACCTGACAGGCTTGTTGAAGGCCCCACAGCATGGTTTCGTAGTACATGGATGGCATCATCAAGTCTGTCCAAGCGATCCTCCATTCGAGACTGCTGTTGGAATTTAAGAGGGACAGGAGCAGCTATTACTGAATAAACCTGCACACTCATTATGCCACAACAGTTTCTACCTCGGAGATATTAAAGACAGATGATGAAATACAGTATATCAAGACTTTGAAAGCACCTACCAGCACTACAACAAACAGGAAAAAGAAAAGGTATCTGGAGATTTTGCTCAAGATAGCATTCATTCCACAAATAGGTGGCAGCTTTTAAAGTGAAGCTTATTATAAGGTTAATGTTACTCAGCTTCTATTACATGGCATGAACAAGGAAAAAGGAAGTGCTACAAAATAAGCTAATAAAGCATGAGAAAGAATGATCATAAAATCAGCCTCACCACGTTGGTAACAATAAAGAGAGGCAGTGGCTTTTTGAGAACCTGTATTACAAAAAACCTGGACAAAATTTTGAGCAAACATTTTCTAAAGTGGAGCTTTAAACACATCAGCTACCTCAGAAATAAAAGTGAGTTCTGTACGTTACTGCAGAAGAGGCTATCTTTAAATTACTTTCCATTAAAAAAAAAAAAAAAAAAAGACCAAAAAACCCCAAAGTAAAACCAATTCTGTCACTGCAGCTCTCTAGAAACTGAAATGGCAGGATGTTGGAGTCAGAAGATGGGTCATATGCTATGCTAATTTAAGTTTTTAATGGGGAATCTGAAGGAAGCATTAATTGAAACACAAAAAGGCACCATCTAAAGTGAAATAGTACCTCACAGACATCCTTTAAGAAGGACATTGCATCTTGCAAATGCTCGTGAAGTTGCTGTTCAACTCGATTTTTCTGGCAAAGTCAAGACAGAACAGGAAGCAAAGCACAGGTTAAGATTAATTCAAAAAAGAGGTGAGGAAACAGCTGATGTGCATGTCAGCAATAATTGTTAGTCAAGTTAATGCAACAGAGATCTGATTATATTAAAGATAAGAAAAGGCTAATATTTAACACTGCAGTTTTGGTAGGATTTTAAGATGTACGTAACAAACATATTTAATTGCAGAAATATTGAAGAAAATGGATTTGGCTTAAACTTATTCTTGTTAGACAGAAAAATGAAATTTCACCTGTGGAAACTAGAAATATTAACATGTAATCAAAGCCTCTCCTCAAATTTTTCCCCTTTCCTTCCTGATCCTGTATCGGGAATTTAAGAAAGAAGTCAGTAACTTAAATCCTCTGCTCAATCTTGAAAGAAAGAGAATTTACAATGCTGTAGATGATTTCCCATGTCTTTTTCTGTAAAATGGTTCATTAATTAATAAATGAACACTCTCCAATAACAAATAATAATTACAAATAATAGATATTAATACCTGACAAGTGTAGTGAAAGCAAGCCCAAGAGGCTACCATTTCAGGGAGGGAGGGGAAGGACAAGCAAATGCGAAGGCATGAAGTCTTTATCTTTCCTCCAGACTGAACTTTAGATAAGAATTAGCTATGGATTTGTGAAAAGGTACCAGAATCTCATAACAGCGCTTTAGCACCAGCTGTCCTCAGCACAGAAGCCTGATGCCCAAGGAACAGATGGTGAAAGACACACCCTGCACGTCTTATATTGTTCAACTGAACAGGCCATTTGTTAGCAAAGAATTCATTTGTAATGCTATCCTACTGTTTCCTTTAATGATATGCAGGATTTATACAAAACCAAGCCTTCAGCTCTTAAGTAAAAAGTACTGTGTTGCTTTCAACAATTCTTACCAAGGAGTGTAGAGAGTTTTCATAGTTTGGAGATGAGGGGGCTTGTCCTCCACTCCTAGACCACTGACTGGCACCTGTCAAAATTGTCTAGGTTAACACAGATTTATGCAGCAGAAGTGGGAAGCAGCAACGCAATATTTCTCAACTTAATCAAAACCAACATTCTGCATAAAGGTAAGCTAACATATGGGTACACAAAGGAGGACAAATTCCTTCATTCTGCTTTGCTGAGGGGTAATTTCTATATCCTGGCATCTGTAGGGTTAGGCATGTTGTCGATGACAAAGCAATGACATCTTCACAGTACTTAAATGATACAGAAGTGGACTAAACACACACACAGAGTACCTGAAATACCTTCCCCCTGCCAGTGTCACCATAAATAGGCTGCTGAACTCCTTCTTCAGGTTATGTTCAGTATATGTAGGCATATCTTTATTAATGTTAAAATATACCACAAAAATATTTATAGAAATCAAATGGACACTGAATTAAGGATAACTGGAAAACCATTTTTATGACACCTCTTTACTAAATAAGAAAACTTAAAACTATATCATAAAGATTTATCTCATTCCACATGATACCATTTTAGATTATAATGCATTTCTAGTTTAGAAGAGTAAAAATATACCTAAGTTATCCCCATTTGTGATTTCAGATACACTGCACATAAACCGGCAGTTAAAGAATATTGACTGTGCAACAAATTATATCCATATTACCTATACACTGCAAATTCAAATCCATATCCATTCTCATCCGACATAAATATACCCAATTACCATGTAAAAATTGAAAATAATTAGATGTGAAATGCAAATAAAGCAGTACTTTTAAAACAAAGCCTGAAATAGTCAACATGTATTTTTCTCACCAACTAATAATGCATCTTTTATAAAGATACTACACAAAATTCTATGGCCATTAGAGACAGCTTCCTTTCAGCCATACAAATGTAATAATAAAGCAATTACATTAATAAATTATGGACGTACAATCCAAAGCAGCTCATTAAAGGAAGAGCCTGTGGGCTTGTTCTTTCAATAACAGCCAGAGCTGTACATCTGGAAAACTGGGAAAAGGTTTAATAACATTACAGTTCCTTTGTTCGGAGAGCTGCAAGTAGTTACCTTTTAAAGAAAGGGGTTTATGTAACAAAAAGAGTACAGCTTGCATAGCTATTAAAATACCTAAATATTTCCTTTCTAATTAAAAAAAAATAAACCATCTACAGTTTCATAGAAGCCCAGAGCTGCCATAACTGTGCTGGAATTCTCTTTTAAAATACAACGACATCAGTGAGCAAGTTTATAATCACCAATTTTCACTTCACACAGCTACTCTGGGTCTGGATCTGCAGTCTCCCCCCACATTACTGTCATTCCTGAACTTTGGAATATTCTGGCTCAGTGTAAGGTCCAAATTTTTATCTGGTTAAAACTCCATTTTTAGAGACAAGCCCATAGTCTTTTAGTGATTGCTCACTACTAACAGGACTGAGTGTGCTACTTCCTACAACAAAGCATCAGCTAGCAAACAGAAAGGCAACCAGTTAAGAAAGGAAAGCAAAAGGCTCAACGCCTGTTCACCTTGTCTCATGAGTTTGTTGAGGGGCTTTTTTAATGGAAAAATGCACTATTTCCTTAGCGTAAGCCCAGAACAGAACTCTGAGTGGGACTTCTCACAAAGGAAACCAAAAACAAGGGGGGAGGGAATACTAAACTCCTCTCAAACGAACCACCCAACTGCAACCTGCAGTTTTTAATCACACCTCTAGTAACGCTAGTGCTCTTCCTGCGCGGTGGCATACTCTGTCTCCATGTATGCGCAGGTTGCCAGATGGCACCGATTTCCTGCCTTCCTCATTCCACTCCCCCTCCTAGAAGTTTGTGCATGAAATCCACCAATTATATTAGAAAGCATCCTGGCACCACAAGCCCTGCAATTAACAACTGCAGCTTTTAGTGCAGCACCAACATAGCAGCATGAAAATACAAATAAGCCAGGCAAGTGTTAGGATTTACAGGGGTCATCGATAGTAATCACTCCAGTATTGTTCTTATACTACCAACACTAATCCTCTGGCTCCCCTTTCAAACACACACTCGGCATCAGAGTCCACAGAGGGCTGGTTTTGTACCCTCAGAACCAATTGAAGCCTTCTGAATATCTCTGATCCCGGGAGGAAGATTCTTAAAATACCAAGGCTCCCACCATTCAGATCCATATATAAATTTCACATACATATACACAATCATTAAAACTATGCATAAAGCTAAGCTCTGGGCATGTTTATGTAAAATTAGAAATTAAACGAGGGCAGGGAAGATGAGACACACGCTATTGTCTCATAGTACTTGGGGGTTTTCATCATGTTGTCCTCAAAGCTTTTACTTAAATTAATTAAAAAATGTCATTACCCTTATTCAGTAACGTAACAGCCAAATGGTCAAACATGAGTGTATCTGCGTGTGTCATGAAGCTATCATCTCTCAATGCTTTAAATGGCAGAGTACTCCTACTGTAATTTACAATTAACTGATACGTAAGTTATGACTCAGTCAAACCTATAATAAGAAGAATGCTAGATAAACAAAGAACTAACTGCAAAAGAGGAAAATCACAATGAAGGCTAAAATGCTGCAAAGCATATTATTTTAGTATACATAAAACATTTGTGTTATCTGCAATAACTTTTTGGGTCAGGACAGAAAATGGCTACCAGGAGTATCAACGGCAATAAATGTAGTAGTAATTACTTTACATTGTGCTTCACTGTGTTCTCAGTGACTCATCTGGGAATAAAGATAAAAGTCCAGATTCATAAATGAAGGTAATTAACCACTGCAGCAATTTACCAAAGGCTTGATAAATTCTGTATCACTGGAATTAAAGGGGGTGGGAGAGTATAATTGTAAAGCAGATGCTAAGTTTGTGTCTAAGAAGGATTTCAGTATTATTTGCTTACATCTACTACTGTTTTAGCCATCAGAATCCAGAATAAGGAACACAAATTAAAATGCAAATTTTGGAGAGTTTTACATTTGATACAGGTTCCAACAGACAAAGGCATCAACGGCAAAGGGGAACTTCACATTTCAGGGACCTCAAATTTGTATTCTAAACCCAGGAATTAGCTAGCGCTTTCACACTTAGAAAACCAGGTGTAGTATCTGATCAGGGAACTCCAGTTGGGATCTCTAAAATTTTAATTACTTTGAAATGTCAGAACTTCTTTCTTCCAGACACAAAATATTTTCAGTATTTGCTTTGATGTTAAAAAGAAAATAGTAACAATTTTCTGGGCTGATCTACCTTTTCAATACAACAAGGATATACAAAACGTTTTTTGTCAACAGTAATCACTGAATCAAAAAGCCCATTAATCCCATCCTCACAATATAACTGATTTTTCAGTTATAGACATGCCCAAAGCAGCTGCTCAGGTATACCATGTCAGATATTCACTAATTCATTAAGACCATAAAAAAACAGAACAGTGTCCATTAAACATGAGTCAAGTATGAGTTTTATAAGTGACGCTGCATGTATCCTATATATTCCCATACATATGTCCACGGCTGCATTTTACGTGCCATAACTTTACTGATTTATTGATCTAGATTACAGAAGTGTTCAGATAAGCTCATTCCGTGCACCTTTCACTGCAAGTTAATTTTGGTTTTTTATAAAAAAAAAAACCCAAAACACTGCTGCAAGAAGTGACCAGTGGCCAGGAGCCTGCAGGGATATATTAAACAACAGAGAAAGGGAAAACAGACTGTTGTATAAACGTTAAATAATTAAACTAATCGCACTATAGGAAAGAACAGGGTTAAAGTTACATCATCTTGCTTGTAATTCTAGTTCTTTGTTAAACAACAAATTTAACTCAATGGCGCTTTCACAGCCCTCTCTATATGGAGAACAGCTGTTCAACTTTTACTAGACAGCTGAGGCCACAGTGTCTGTGAAAGCTGCACTACCCACTAATAGCTGTAGGCAGCTGCCCACAGTTCATCTCCACGCTGGAATGCTCCTTCCCACATTCACACTACAAACACACAAAGCACAGGTGACAGAGGTGGCTGCAATATAGAGCACTTATTTTGAAAAATGCCAGGAATTCTTCTCCCATAGAATGAAAGCATTCATGAGAGATATGAATGAAAAACTATCCTGTGTAAAAACTGGATACTCTCATAGCTACTATATTTTCATTAGAGGGAACACACATCTGCTGCGTTTGTCACTTAAAGCTGCTGGAGAGTTTTAACGTAGAGCTTAAAAAACCCCAACAAAACCGACCAATTCACTTTTACTTCTCTCCAATGGTACAGATCTGTACAGACATCTTTACAGCTGTGGTTGTATAAGGTCATTCAGTGCTGTCAAAGATTATTTTAATAAGATAATTTTCAAAGCCAGTCACCAGGATTTGAGTGAATGCTCATAACAAACCAGCTAAGAATCTGGATTTCTAAATCTGGATTTTGTACAATGGAAAAATAAACAAAATACAGAAGTAATTACGCAAGGAAGCTAACTGCTGATTTCACTGGGATTCCAAGCAGAAGGTTTTCAAAGCCACAAACAAGTTACTGACAAATGGCTAGTCTCTACCTGTAAGAGGCGATGGTGATCCAACTGGTGTTGACGGATTCGATGGGAAACTACTGCTGGTATGATCAGGAGAATAAATCTAACAACAGACAAAAGAGATTGTGTATCAATACATGCCATAATATTCAGTAAAGAAAATAGCTATTAGGATTCCTTTTCATGCTTTTAATTGTCACTCATGATGCTGGGCTGATAAAAACCCCAATTTTATCCTTCAATCACAGCTCTGCTTTATTACACTCAAGCCTCTAAAAATGTCCGGAGAACTTTCATTTTCAAGCAGCTGTCAAAATAAGCACAGCCTGTATTTGATAGCAACCCAAGTATAACAGATCTTCCTTCTACTTCAACAGCAGCGGCAATTACAGCCTTTTTGTCAGTGAAGGAGAACAATATACGTAAGAGTTAACAGCACAAAGATAATTATAACAAACAAAACTTCAGGAAAACGTGGAGAAATAATGACTTCCCAAATCTTACAGAGAGAAAAGATTTTAGCAGTCAACACATTATCTTCTAGAAATTAATCCTTCACAAGTGAAAATACCAAGAAAACATTCAGCTCCCGTTACGTACCTACCAAATGAAAAGCATCTGAAATTTTGTTGCTCTTCCTATTGTATTGCAGTACATACAATTTTCCCCTCTTATTTCTACATCAGTTGCTCCCTTGAGACACCAAACCTCAACCTGCAACAATCCATTCCTTGCTATTAATGTAATTAAAAAGCCTTAATAAAAACAGAAGACATAATGCTTAAAGCTTTAATTAAAACTTAGAATTTTAAGATTCTTGGAAAATTCATTTTGTGAAGGGAACTGAATCAGTTTAGAGGCTGACTATGGACTTTAGAACATATTTTTATAGGTCACCAGTTCAAACCTGTTTTACTTGAGCAGAGACCAGGATTTGTTAGTCATCAGATGGCAGTTAAGAAAACGTCGTCACTGGCAGTGTGGTTGATGTCTCTTCACACAGACAATATGACATTTCAGCATTTAGCTGACAATAAACTGGGACCTGGTTAAGTTGCATATTGTATTTTTTGAACTGACAAAACCAGGACCTGATAGACCACATGCTCCTTCTTGGTCTATCACACTTTCTCATTAGAAAACACCATCAGTTCCCTAATGGAAACACCTTCTCCATTTCATAGACGCTAGAAAGTAAGTATACTTAAAAGAACAAACCACCTCAGACCACTGAAGGAAATGCACACATTGCGCATGATTATAAAAATAAATCTTGGGTGTCAGTATGGGAACTGTACAGTTCCAGGCAGATAAGATACAGAAAACTAAAATTATGTCCGAACAAAGGCCACGAAGTTTCCTTTGAAACTGGCTGTTTTCCAGCGCTCTACCTGCTGATTTTGTTTTGCTAATTTTGTATGAGGGAAAACCTCCATTATACCAAAGCCACAACTAATACAGGAGGTCAGAATTCATTCTGCATGCAGTCCCTGGCCGCTGTGCTGTTAAATGACCAATGATGAACAACCCTGACACCTTCTGCCGGGCTTAAACGGTAACATGACTCATTTTACTGCAACAAATGAGACTCCTCCTCCTATCAGTCATGGTCCATTCCAATCAGCGGGATGCCAATATGCCAGGGTCTAATGAAAAGGCTCTTAGACAAAAGCTGCACAATTGAGAGCCTGCAGAGCCAAACCTCGGAGCTGTTAGTCCAATTTTTTAAACACTACAGTGTACATTTCAGTTAGGCTTTGTTATGCTAATGTTATTGAGTCTAAAGCAACAAAGAAACTTAATTCATGAATTACTTTTAGAAGTCAACTTCCCTACATTTTCTTTTCTTTTGTGAGGGGACCAGTGGCTATTTAACTACTGAGACCGTACAAAGGCCTTTACCCTAGTTCTGAGGTAGGAATCAAAATGTAAGTTATCACAAAGAGGTCTGATATAATCAACAAAGTTAAACAGTCCTCCTGTTTGATCTCCTCTAAATTAAAGACCAAGTGTTTTGATTTGGCATTAGGCAATGAAATAAACCAGATGTTTCTCCTGCCATATAACCCTCCATGGGCACAATCTTAAAGGGTTATTGTTTGGCAAATGTTCAGGGAAACACATTAGAAATGGCACGAATACCCAGATTTTCTTTTCTTTCTATCTCTACTAGTTCATTATCCAAACTAATGCGTAATCCACAGGGCTTTGGGAACTTTGTGTAAATACTTTCATGTACAATTCTCTTTCTTGCCTACCCTGAGATTAAGACCACAATTATCCAGGCTTAAACCTAAAATAAAAGAACCTTTGCAAATGTATTATCTGGCCTTACATGTTTAATCACATACTATTCTGTATGGTCTTTAATACCTAAACTGAAGAACAAATGTCGTATCCTCTGATGTTTCACACATGAAAGGCCTATTGTGAGATGTACATCAACAGAATTTTAGAACTAAAAATTCCTCTCAACAGTTGCAGCAGTAGCATTTAAAACCCTACCAGAAAGGCATGTGCTATCATCTTAGGGGAGGAAAAATTAAATACTAAAAAGACAATCACAGTATTTAAATGAAACTTTGAGCAAACAGAAAAAATATTCTCGTTTTACTGGCCACCAAAATTGATCTGTGCCAGCTTCACCTGCAGCAGAGAGCACCTCCCTGCTTGCCACAACCAAGCAGTGCTCCTCACCGAACAAGCACAAGAAGTGTGCTGGGTGCGCGTGTGTTGTGGGGTGCGGGGGAAGCAGATGGATGAGGCGAGGGATTTGAAGTGTGCAGACTATGGCATGCAGTGATAGAGCAGATGGAATGCATCACCATCAGCTATGACAGAAATGATTTATGGAATGACCTGGCTGCTCCTGCCAAGCAACAACACGGGATGACAGAAACAAGTTTCTATGACAACCAGAGCCCACCCACCAGTTAGATTAAACATTTCTGCCCTGACTTCCACTTGCAATATATTTAGAGTTTTTCCTCACAACATCAGCTTGGCTTTCTCGGCTAGTGACTTGGGAAAAAATACCTGAAAGGATGAGAAAATAACTTATAAAAAAAGAGCACTGGAAAATGTCACGAAGTCCCGCAGGTCAAACGGGCCAGCGTGTCAGACTTCCAGCAGAAATTTTGGTCAAGCTGCAGAACAGCAGAGCAGACATCCTAATACATCTGCAAAGTAAGGAACAGCCTGAAGTATGTAAGCATTGCTATTTCTAGGAGTCAAAATGATCCCAGTTCTTTTCTGACAGGTCTCAAACAGACAAAAAGAGAGTGTTAACTGCCCTCTGGACTCTTGGATTGTTATCTGCTTGCTGAATCCCCGAAAGCAACAGGGACAACATTTTTCTCCTCAAAGCCATTAGATCAGAGTTCTTCTACCCAATTTGGACATTACAGACATTATCAGATCTGGTAATCTTTTAACATATGACCCTCTGAGGGATGCAAGGGTAACAGGATCTGCACGAATATGTGCATCTGCATTCACTGGTATGAGGTAAGGGATGCAGAATCCCACCCAGGAATGGTGCTTTGGGGCTGCAAAGTAGTAATTTCTATCTTTTGTATCAGATCTAGTCACCCTATTTGCGATGCACCAGAAACACAGAGTCGTCCCCCAGCCACCACTCCTAACGGAAATTTCTGCTATACTGGATCAACTGCTTCTTTCTAAAACATACATCTGATTGTATTAATGCAAAAACAACTGCTGTATGTGTGCACACACAAACAGAGCTTATGGTAGACTGCAGATACCTGCAATATTTTACATTATCTACATTATTCTAGCAATAGTTAAAACTTTATGCATATATAGCAGTTTAAAGGCTGTTCCATAAATTATAGCTATACAACACAGCATTCAAAACCTCTCAGTTTTATAAGGCCACTGAGAAAACATTTTAAACCTTGAGGCAGGACCTGCTCTAAGAGTAATGTTAAAAATATTTGACTTTAACTAGACACTACAGGGAAGAAAAAAAAATTAAAAATCAAACCCTAAACTTATGGTTATCTTTTTCTTTGTCTAAACAACTTCTAAACTGTCTGCCCCAAATTTTTTGATCACCTAAAAAGACAGAATGAGTCTTCTACAAATAAAAGCATTTTCCACTTGTTTTTTTATACATTTGTCCAGTATATGACATTGTATCATAGTGCATTATTTTAACTTCATACAGGAAACTCCTGATTTGTTATCATAAAAGGAATGAACACTTAAATAATGGACGCAATGATCAAATTGTGACTTTGAGAGCTGAATATTCTGTTACTTACAGATGCCAATGCCTTTCCGAGGGCATCACCTGTCTGTGAGCTTCCAGCACCATTTCCTCTGTTTCCTGTAATGTGGAAAGCAAACCCAACACTTATTTTTAAAGCTGAAATTTTATTTACTTTTATTATTTTATTCATTGTGTACAGTTGAGCAACCACTTCTGAAACGGATATTCTGAGGAAGTCAGTGTCAACAGAATCAGCTCTCATTATACTTAAAAATTTAATTAAAACAATTAGATTTAAATTTAGATGGTCTCCTCTCTCAAGTCACACACAGTAGCACCGTGATAACTTCAGGACCAGCAAGAAAACGCAGTTAGAAAAAAGAGTGAAATTATTTTCTAGGATTGCAGGCTAATTTTAATGAAATATGAGAAGAAAATCAAAATCAGAAAATTATATCATTGCAGCTAATTTCTAAACTGTTATCATTGAAGTGCTGCACATTTCATTAATTCTTAAAGCCAAATTCACTGAATAGTTCCTTGTGTGTCTCCCTGCTCCCTCTGCTCTAATTCCCTGTGTTGTACTCTCATCTTTATTTTAGAAAATCCCTGAAAAGCTCTTATCCACCAAGCTTTCTGTCACCCCTGCTCTCAGTTGCATGTCAGCAGCTTTGCATGCCCTTTTGCTCCACACACCATTAAGCCGAGAGGCGGTTTGAAGCCCTGCCAATTGGAAACACAGAAAGGACTTGAATCCTCCGAAATATCTGCTTTACTGTAGGAGACAGACCCTTTAAAAGTGAATCTCCTTTCTCCAATTCTAATGGAAAAAAAGAAGTATTTAATGTGAACCTAAGCCATTCACACCAGAAACCCAAATCATGCAACACTTGCTGCTTCAAGTTTGTGGCAGACTTGGATGTTCTAGCCTGAATTTCCCATGCAGGTTCATCAACTGGGTTCTGTTTAAAGACCCGAGTGTAAAACATGATCCCAAATCAAAGCCAATATAGTCACTTTAACTGAATTCTGTTTACTTAGAATGAAGATAAGTGCAAATCATATCAAACCGACAAGGGGCAGCTACAAGCATTTAATTTCTACATTTGTATCTTAAGATCTGCAAATACGTGCAAGGAATGGATGATCATCCTGTATTTCGTACTTTCTAGGTAAGCGCAGAAGAGACTAAACCAGCCACCATCCTGGCTACTCAGTAATGTATAAATCAGTTAAGAGAGGAATTTACAATGCAGTTTATCAAGCTTCCCGAAGAAACAGCCTTCTTGCCTTTCTCCAGGACTTTGGTGATGCAGCAGCTCTGAAAACTGCAACATCAGAACTACCTACATGAATGGAACATATAACAAACTATGGAAGGGTAACTGCCGTAAAGTCAGATGGATACAACCTCCTGAGAATAGGCTTGGCTGTGAAAGCAAACGAGCTAATAAGTCTTAAGCTAACTGCAAAACAATTTGCCTCATCTCAGCCATACTGAGGACAGAAACGTCACAGCGGTGCGGTATCCCCGATTTGCAAGCATCCTATAAATTAAAGCTTACTGATTTTGTGTGTCGTGCAGCCCCAAACTGCATTTTCTCATTAAATTGAAACAAACAGAAAACAAGCAAACAAACAAAAACCCCCAAACAAACAAACAAACAACCCCCAAACAAACCCAACAACCATGAACAAAAAAAGGCAGGAAGAACTTTTTACCCAGAATATTATCTGATCCATTGACAGGTGGAGTGTGTGAGGCAGCTACATAAGGTGAACTGCTGGTACTGCCACGATGGAAGCTAGACATTGGAGGAAGACTGGCATTTATATCTGTAGGTGAGACTGAATGTGGGGGATAGCTCTAGAGAGAAGAGAAACAGACATAAGACATTAAGTTCTCTTTATATAAATGCTGATATTTTAAGATACCAAATACACAACACCCAGCTCCTTATTAAAGAAAGAGTCTCCTCCATCCTCTGAACAGACCATTGTACAGCCAGAGATTTTTATCTATACAACAGACAAGTAAAAGGATATAAATCTAACACAGGAAGTTTGTGATTTCTGACAACTGGGTATTTAACTGACATTCAAGAGCAGCAAACCAGAAATTAATTCCTGTAAGTCAGCCCGCTGTGGACAAATACACAAATGTGTGCTACGCATCTTACCAAACGGTCGTGTGTGTGCAGGCTGCCATAACTGCCCGACTGGGACATGTGGGAAGAGGAGCCTCCCAGCATCCCACCATAGCCAGGCTGGCTCATGCCATTGGATGAACTCCAGAGGTCAGAAGAATTGTGGGTCCCATCTTTTATTTAAAAAAAAGAAAAAAATAAGAAAAATATGTTTAATGAAGAAATGAACTGAGTGCTACTTTCCATTACACTATTATTTTATAAGCATACAGAATTCAGCTGCTCAGACTAACAGCAAGCATGGAAATGGTGACCAGTTCATCCCGTGTTTTCTATTTTCATGCCATCACACTGTTGCTGAATTTATAAAAAAAAAAAACAACAAAAAAACCAAACAAAAAAAAACCAAAACCAAAATACAAACCCAACAGAGGCTTTATATCTGAAACACAATCCAAGCACAGCTGAGAAAATACCAAGTACTTGTGCTAATTACACAGACCTTCAGTAAGGCCAGATTTATATCTAGAGGGTTGACAAAAATTCCAGACTGAAAGAAATAATAAAAAAGGAGGTGGAGGGGAGAGACGTTTGGCTGAGCAGAGCTCATCATGAACATACAGTGCAAAACAGCTATTAACCTAAAATAAGCAATTTATAGTCTAAAATACCTTCGTACCATAAAAATATAAAAACATTTCATAATAGCACATTGAAGCCACGGAAATTACTGCATTACATAAGCCTTAAACCCGTGTGTCGATGCAGTTTTCCTTCTGCAGCACAAACTGAAGTGCTCTGTAAATTCCCGTATTGACAGACTATGCTTTCAATATGCTCCAAAACCTCATCAGGCTCCAGTACGAGCTAACTGCATGACGTGAGGCCAAGGAAATGAATTCTGCTCTCGCTTTGTTCAATGCAAACCCCTTTTTTTGGCATACTGGATATACAAACATTTGAGAACTTAAGACTGTTAGTTGATATTGTACAGTCAAATTCCAAAGCAGCCAAGAAGCCCCCACCTCATTTTTCTCCATCACTCCAGTGTGCTGCTCTGAAGCCCCTACAAATCAAAGGACGTCGGATTCTCTCCATCTGGCCTGGTGTATAATCCCCTTAAACTTCAGTCAGCAATTAACGTCATGAGAAAAACTCTAAATCAACAGACAGCTCCCTTCATCTAACTGTCTTAAATGTATATAAAACTTCGTCGTAGGCTCTAGCACAACGTTACCTTTACACTTCCTCATTCATTCAGTACAACAGTGCCTGACTGCAGATTTCTACCCGAAGGACAAGTGACATCTGCCCATATATTTACAGTCATTTTACCCACCTTGCATAAAGAAAGTGCTAGCAAACATACTGCTCGGTGGCTTAGGAGATGGGTAACTTGGAGATTCTCTGTTGAAATCATCAGAACTCGGGGACGGTGCATACACCTAAATATTGGAGAGCAATAAAAGCAGGTTAGTAATATCTGGGTGTCGTGCATTAAAAAAGCCCCATAACAGCATACAGACACAGAGAGAAAGCACAAGTAAAAAAAGAACAGTGTAGCAAGCTGCAGCATTTGTTGCCCTTGTTTTATTTGCTTTTTAGCAAGTTGCCACAGTACAGAGGAACTACAGTAGAATGATCCTAACAACACACTTTCTGGTGTGCCAACTCAGCCAGGTGGCCTGATAAAAGCTTGAATGCTGATTTTGCTTTCTAAGTGCATGACTCGCACAGACTTGTTGCTCAAGATAAAAAAAGCAAGATAAAACAACTGGGCCCCAAACAAATTTTATTTTAAAACAACTGCATGCCTGTTTGAATATTTAATTAGCTGGCATCCCAACAATCAGAAACAAAAAGAACATCCAGTGACAAACTCAAAAGATTTTAATGCAACCACTGTATCACCCTTTTAGAAACCTCCACACCTTTGGAGAGTCATCAGAAGTGTAAGTAATGCCAGTCCTGAGGACTCATCTGAAAACTGCAACATCCAGCACATTATTTTCACACTGGCCTAACATGAAAGAAAACCAGCCTCCGTCTTTTTTCAGTGTAACCCCACATTGGAACAATCTTTCTCAACTTGCAAGCAACAAATTATCTTAACAGGTTAAAAATCGTAAGATGCCAAATAAATGTAACAATTACAAGCCTCTCCCTGCAGGGAAGAAATACAAAGTATATTCAGGAATAAGTAAGTCAAATCAACAAAGCCGGTATTCACAGACTCAAGGTCTCAACTCATAACATTAACTGTTCTACACAATGCTGTCGTCACACCAGTATTTTGGTCAATACACTGAACAACTGCAGTATGACCAGTGCATGCTAAAAGAAGAATCTTCAACAAAAAAAGGGCAAATTAACAAATATGGCAGCAAAGAATATCCAAATGTAACCCTGAGACCAGAGCACCTTTTTGCTACCAAGTAAAAAAGAGGTATTTTTTCACTTTTTTATCATTCACCTTACTTGTAAATATGTAACACATATATATTAAGAGTAATTTTAAAACTTTAAAGCTTACATAATGCAACTTACAGAGTGCACTCTGCCCTAAAATCCAGAAGTGATTACTTCTGTCCCTTCCTGCTCATCTACAGGCACACACGTTTCTATGACATTCACATCTCTCCCTCGTCCTTCTGGGATGTTGTTTACCAAGCAAGAAAAGGGCCAGGAAAACCAAGCCGGCCAACAAAAAGCCGTAAGTCCCCTAAAAGAGAACCATTGTTCTCCCGGAGAGTGACTGTTGTGATACGGATATTTAGAAAGTGAAGTGGGCAAGTCCCGCTGCCATTTGCATACCAATACCCCTCCTCCCCACTCCCAAATGCTTTTCTAGCCTGCTGTTGTCAGAACAAATGGCTGGGCATGTGCCTGCAGACAGCGCTCTTTTATATCAGAGGCACTGATTTACCACTCTCTTAGACTCGTTTTACATCAACAGAATTTCAATACAATCTCTCAAACTGCAGTATGATGGAATCGGGACAAGGGCACAAGGAATTAAGTCAGGGCATAGCTGTCGATAGGAGCCGCGGAATGAAAACGGCAGCAGGTAAAAGCACACCTGGTGAAAAGGAGTCAAGTGGAAAATTTTCAACTTTTTTTTGCTTGTTTTAATATGTTTTAAATCAATTACTTTTTTATTTTTTTTTCCCCCCAGGAAAGAAAGTCTTTCGGGAAGCTTCTGTTCAATATTTTACTTGCAAATTTTCAATTTATGGAATCAATGTAAACCAGAGATGCTTACCAAACCTGAGTGACAGAATGACAATACGTTCTAAGTGATGTTAACAGTACATATGTATTTACCATATAGGATGAATGCATGTATATTCCATGCCTCCGACATATTTTAACAGAAATGTCACTCTGTCAAATTGTAAATACCCGTGCTCGTAAGACTGCAAACATATTAGGCAAAACTGGGCTTAATTTACAAGTTCTCTGTTGTGCAGAATAACGCAGCATATGCTATAGCTGATGGATAATCTATCACTGTCACAGGACAGCAGTGGAAACAAAGCTTTATGACATTTAGCACTTCCATGGAGATGTACGCTGATTAATGCGAAATCACCTACAGCGACCAAGTGTCCTGCTTTTAAACTGTAACATTATCAGTGAGATTTGTAAATACAACCTTCAGACAAATTTTAACATTTTGCAAAATTGGGTGATTTAGAAAAACTGAACAAACACCATCTCAAAAGGGAAATTAAACTGAAAAACTCCTACAAATGTATCACTTAGATACATATGTACGAGGCATTAACATCATAAAAATATTATGAATTACATTAACATAAAAGAGGCCCTTCCAAACAGCTACATGAAAGTCCTAGCACAGACACATAACTTTATATAGTTTCTGCTTGTTTTGGTATCTTAACTATAGCTTGCAAAAAAACATCGCTGCAATGTTATGAAGCTGCACTTGTGCCAGTCTAGATTTTTCAGATCAAAGGGTTCTTGCGGCAAAACACAACTGATGTGGTCTCAAAGACTTCATTAACTCCAGATGTGGGGAAATAGCCAGCCAATTCCACAAAAGGAGCAAGTCTCTTTTAGTTACAATCAGAACTACCCACAAATTAAAACCAGGCCTCTGATGTCATCTGATCACCTGCAGATGAGCGCCAGGTTTTTTTCTGGTTAATGACCTAATCATAATTTTTATGTTGTGTTACTACAAACAAAATTCAAAAGCAAAGGAGAAAATTTATTAAGATTAACATGAAGTCCATGAGAGGTGAAAGACACAGGCTTAAAATAAAAAAGTGGATAAAGAAGTTGAAGTTTTGTTTTCGAGTCAGGAAGCGAGGTAACGGGCAGCTCGAGTGCCGGCTCTGAGCCCCCGCAACGCACCCAGAGCCCGGCCCAGCAGATCCGCAGGCTCTGCAGTGCTGGCCTGCAGCTCGCATGGCTGCTGCGTCCTAGTTAAAGGGCTTTCTCTTCTGCAACAGCTGAGTAAGGCTGTTATAAATATGACGTGGCTGTTCAAGACGGCCTCTTTTAGCTATTAAACTGATAACAGTGACATCCAGGAGGCACCAAACCAGTTTTTCCTGGCTGACATTCCCACTAAGATGAGGAATACTGTTAAAAGGTCAGCCTGTCTGCAGTCTCCTTGAAGAGTGTTGTCTCCAGAAGGTAGAAGAGGAGCCCATCTTCTAATCCCCTTAAACGCACTGCGCCCGAAGCCATCGGATGTGTCTCCATGCTGACAAGCAAAACACTCTCTGGTTATGAATGGGAAATTCCCTTCTGATAAACTCACACCAAATCCAGATTTTAACATGACTTATCAAGTGGAGGACTCAACTTTCTTGGAGCTGTGCTAGAATATACATCAATCCTAACATTGCAGTGCTTCTGAAGGGTAGATAGCCTCCGTGGAGGGAAGTAGGACAAATGAGTTGCAACGGACATCAAGTCAAGAGTCCCACGCCTGTCTCTTCTGCGCACTGAACTGGTTTTATGTTTCTCCAGTGGGAAAAGCAGGATGACAACTAAGATATTTTTTTTGAGGGGTAGCGGTGGGAGCTGACTTCAGAACAGAGCAGAGGAGCCACTATCTGTACTACATCGCATTTAAGCAAAACAAACACATCATTCCAGTTCCAAAATCTGCCCTGGTGATTAACATATATAATGAACATTATCATGAAAGTTACACACACCTAATATATCTAAAACACATCAAAGGACTACACAGCATGCTTCTGTTTACTTACACAAGTGCCAATAACATTAATTTAAAGATCTGGGTTTACCAAATTTTAAGCTAAGTAAAACTTCCAAGTCTTATTCTATAAATGCATTTAATAAACACAACTCTTAGAATCCTCCTGTTGGCACACTTCCTCTCAGGCAATTTTCCTGTAATACGTTTCAAATTCTTAAATATTTATCAATGTTTAATATTAATGTTAAAAGCAGATTAAAAAATAGCAACAAAGCAACCAAACCTTCCTTCTGATGAGCTTAAGCTACCTCAAGACCAGGGCTCCCATCACGCGTACTGTTTATGGATTTATGAATTATGTTACTCATTTAGGCCTAGTTATTAATAATTCTTGGAAGTTCAGAAAAATATTTATCAAGCTGCTGGAGACAGGATTTTTTGAAACCAGTAGAGATGGATAACCTACTCTGTAGCTTGTAAACTCTGCTAAGTAGCCTATCTACATTCCATCAGCATCAGTCATGCACTAAGCAAGTGTGCACTGATGAATGATTTGTACATGTGGCAAAATTTTACAGTGTATTATCTGCAGGTTTTGTGGCAAAAGCTAATTCTGCTGAAAGGCAGCTCTGGGAAAAGGAAACTTGTTTTCATGTTTACTAAAACTTCAGGAATGTAGAAGAGTAACTATAGCTTTCCAGGCTCCTCTTTACAGTAAGACAGAAGCTGCCAAAAAAAAACCCCCAACCCCTAACCAAAAAACAAGACCACCACCGTAAATTCTGATGTAGTTAATATTCAAGCAAGATGATAAAATGAGGAGCCCCAGCATACGAGATCAGTATACACCACATCCTCAGTCATACTTTTTATTTCCAATACCAGGTGTAAAGGTTCATACATTTTAAAACGTCTTTTCACCGCCCAGAATGAAAATAAACCTCTCCTTTAAAAGAGCAGAGCATCAGTCTTGTCTGCAAATGCAACCATAATTTTTAACATTCAAACTCCTTGAAGCAGCTAAACTGAATTCCATCTTAAATAAATGTTTATGCAGTTTCGGCATGCTATACATGCCTATTTGGCTATTTCTGAAATGCAGAATCCAACTGCAATGACACATAGCCTAGCAAGAATTCTTCCTCAGTGTATGACAACTTTAAAGTCATGTTAAAAAGTGAAAGTAAACTTACAAAAAAACCCCAAATTGTGTATATGGAAACCTTTTGGTCTGTTCTTT